ATGCACTTGTGTTTGCGTGATTCTCTCACCAGCGGAGTGACTGTGAGAGAGCAGGCACACAGTGGGGAGCAGGCACACAGGCTCCCTTCACGTGGTTCCAAAGGTGAAGGGCTATTAGGGGAAAGGTGAGCGTGGGGCTTCTGCTCCGGGTTACTCAGTAACTACATCTCCGTCCTGCCCCTCTTAGGCCTCTGCCTCTGCAAAGCCCACCGAGAACACACATTTAGCTGCCGAATCAGAGTGGTCTCTCTCATCTCATTAAGAAGGATCTGTAGAAGATAAAAGCCCCCTAATGGCAGAGGTGAACGTTTGGAAAAGGCTGCAGCAGTTTGGAAACTAAGATCCAACAGTGAGTTCCCCATAAGAAACTCTGAACCCAAAGAACCATTTGACACGAGCCATAACTGAAAGTTTTACCTCACAAGAAGAAACATGGAGCTTTAGGACTTCATTTTTTCTTTATCCTGTTCGGTATTATGACAGTCTTTTGGCACTCATTGACATAAAGCAATGGCCTTTTTCACCACAGTTAAAAGCTTTGAGAGGATGGGAAACAGGGTAAATAGAGAACACATACACCAAAGTATCATTAGCTGCTGCAGATGGGGTTCCTTCCCAACCGATTGATGGCACGCTTAGCTTGCAAAGCTGAAAAATGTTTAAACTACCACAGAGGAATGGTCCATCTCTCACACTGGAATTACACTGATATCACATGATACTGCATAGAAAATAGATGTTGGGGGAATAGGGAAATTTGGTGAATCTATTTGGTTCACATATAAGCCAGTTTTAAGCAATGAGAATCATATATGTATGAAATTGGTAAAATGTCTGCAGATATACATACAGATACAGATTTCAGTTAAGATTTTGTCTCTTCATTCATCAATACATCTTGGAATTTGTCTCTTTTTTTTTCTAGAGTCTAAAACAAAGTTTGGTTTGTCAGTTAACTTTGCCCTTGACAGGATAAATAAAAAAAATCCAAAACAGATTTTATTTGACTCAATTCTGTCTGTTTATAGTGGTACCCTTTTAGGATTTTAGACTTCAGTGTGCTTTACTGAGGTTTTGGTTAGTTTTTTTTTGTAGTTTCTATTGACAGCACAGTGCCACAGAGCTTTGGGCGCTTGGAGGTGTGAAAGGATTAGGGAGGTAATGCCTTTAAGACTATGTTTTATTGTTTATTCTTTTTTCCACGATATAACAGTGTGTATAAAAAAGTGAGCTCAAATATACAGAAGTAAAAACTGACTGATTCAAATGTAGTTTCTAGATGCAAATCGTATTCTTAGAGCATGGGTTTCCCCTTAAAATCTGAGAGCTTAACTCCAGAAACATCTCGCATTAAGAGGACTGCATCAACAAAAGGAAACAGCTAACGTAACGCTGGCTCCACGGGGGGGCCTTTTTGTTGTCGCACAGTCGGGAGATGCATGCTCTCGGTCTCAGTGATGGACGGCTGGATAATATCACATGTTACCGGATCAGGCCTGCGCTCCTCTGACCACCGTCCAGCCCCTTTTCCATCAAAACACAGATGTGTGTGAGGCAGCTGAAGCCCGTGTTTGTTTACCGTCCCTGAGCACGGACACATGAAAGTGTGGCGGCTGGGGCCGCGGCCTTGACCCCGCCGACTCGCGTAATCACACACACACACACACACACACGGCCCGTTTCTTCGGCCGCAGGATGGCAGAGCTGTGTTTTGGCGAAGGCCACAGCCCGGCGGCCCGCCGACCAATGAGAGGGAGGACAGTGTTCTGCGTGTGAGTAATGATTGACAGCATGTTGAATTACTCAGAGAGGCATTAGTCATGGTAAATGTGTTACATGTTCTTGTTCTCTAGTCTGAGTGTGAATAGGTTTGTTTGTCTCACAGGTTTGAAGATTTGTCTGTAGGTCGATGTTAAAACTGCTGATCTTCAAAGGTTTTTGGCATAAGAAAATTTCTCCAGCTTCACTTATTAACTCATCATCTTTGTAGGCAAGTTGTGCATTAATTGTATTTATTATGACAAAAAAAATTCAAATTCATTCCATGTTCAGTTATTCTTCAGCAGAGCTGGAAATAAAAAACAGTCATTAGTGACACAATTAGGAAATCACTGAATATGCTCGTGTTCAATTCGGCTCTCAGAACAAAGTGTCCATACCAGCAAAAGCAAACATGTTTCCACCGGAAAAAAAAAAAAAGCTTACACAATGAGGTATCACAGCCACACGCAATACTGTAGAAACATTCTGGGGCACCATCGGGGGGTCCGGCACTTTTTTTGTGAACAGTGCGAGGGCCACATCATTGGCTAATCTTTGGCTGGAGGGAGCCAGTCAGATCTGAGCTCTCCTTTCATCCCACAACTATCCAAACACCGAGCTGTTAGCAGCTCTGATATGCTTTGTTTATCGGGCCACCTGGACACGCATCTGGTCAGCCGGGGAGTCGGTCCGTCAATAGCAAGGCCAGATGGATGCACATTCATAGCGGCACCTTATGGGTCCCAATCACAAGTGGCAAAAAGTGTCTTTAAAAGCAGCTTTGAGGACTCAGAAACGGCATTCAGGGGAGTGGATGAGATGGGAAGAGCACCCGGTCAGAGATAAATGAATTACCTGGTTCTGGTTCACAACTTTTCAATGCTCCCATTACTGCACCGATAGTCAAATTACACAATCGTCTATGAAGAGAGAAGAGGTTGACACGAGGTAACCCCTCAAAAGAGAAAAGTGGAATGGCAAAATGACTGAGTCAAGGATAGATAGCTCAATTCAAAAACCTTTGTTGCTCAAACTTGAGCGAGGTTAAAGTTTGAGCAAAAGCAGAATAGTCTGTGAAATGAAGTCTCATGAAAAGAGATAACACATTAACATCCATGTGCTTACTTGGAAGTTTAGTGTCCCAAAGTCCATTATGTCATAATTGATTTCCTCACAATTTCCTCATGGATAAGAGGTTATCTATATGAGATTATAGATGCCAGATAGAGGACGCTGTGTCTAAAATGTGGTATTAGTTGTGAAGAAACGTGTTTATTTATTCATTTATTTATAACATTCATGTGTTACACTGGCTCTGCATTACTATTAGGTGACACAGAACCCTCCCTCCTACTGGCTACCAAGTCTGAAGTGATGACTTACATACTTAGTGGTTGACTCAGTGTCTTGAGCTGTTATCAGAGGTGTGGTATTTATCACCAGCCACTGTAGTATACGAGGACAAAAAAAAAAGAAAAAAAAAGCCCCACCAGACCTCCTTTAACCCAGATTCCTGCTGGTTTCATGCTCCGACAGGCAAGAGCCTGGTAACTGCTGTCATATGGAGCGGATGATGGGATAAATGTTTGCCGCTGTGTTCACAACTACCTGCGTCTAAGTGGCGACTCCATCACCTCCCACATCTGCCCCCTCATTAACACAGCCACTCTGACCCACGCTGGACCGGCCAGAGCCCACATGGACTCATCGAACATCGTTCCACTTTCTGCCAAAAAACCGTTGAGCAACAACGGTCAGGCTGTGAAAGCAGGACTGAGAAAACAGAAAAGCCCGTCTATTTAAAGGGCTTAGCAACGCCATCCAGATGCTGCGCTTTGTGGTATTCCGTTTATTCCCAGTACTCGATGTCCCGGCCAATGATATGTGAGGAACATCCGGCACGCTGGGGAAATCCTGGGACTCAGAGCTGGCAGGGCTGCCAGGACCAGGCCCGCTGCCATGAACCTTGATGTTAGATAGCAGAAAAATGAAATGCTGCCTTGAAGACCAGAGGCCACAACAACAGACGGAATCAATAGTCACTTATCTTTAATGTTTCACTGGCGTTTTATTGGGGATCGTGTTATCGGGGTAGTGCCAGTTTTTCAACAATATGATATTTTTATCACAATGTCACCAGTGGCCAACGCAGAGTTTACAGCAGAGAGATGGAAAAAAACCCTGCTTATTACCATGGAACAGAGGCAGCTTATTTCAGAATGAAAGTGGTTGATTAAATTCAGTTAAAATGGAAATGCAAATATTTTCTTTGTCAAAATGAAGCCACCGTATGTTATTTCAATTACTACTATTAATAATTTACATTAATTATTAATCAAGGGGCAAAAATAGTTGATCACATCAAATCATAGGATGGAATTTTTGTTTTCCAAGTCAAAGGATCAATTCATATTCAACAAAGGCTGCATGAATAACTTAAAAGCACTTGTTGCTCCACAAACAACTATTTATGCATACTTCACTCAAACCAACTTTTAAAAAACTGTCCCACCAAACAAGTCTGCAGCATAAATAGAAAATACACCCTTTCCAACAAACCAAAATTCTTTTGCAAAAATGCCCATGATTTACTGAGTCATAACGCGTTTGAAAGGGAAGAACTCCTGACCATAAAACAAACTGGATGGAAAATACAATTGCAAAGACAAACACATTTAGTCAAATTAAGATCTAGAATTGGAAAAATATGTCTTTCTTTCTTAAATAACAGCCCAGCTGACACGCTTCCAGGCAGACATTTGCAGAGCTGTGTGTGTGTTTGGGGGAGGTGGGGAAAGAACCAAACCCGTCATTACCAGTATCTGGGTGCAGGAGGATGTGGTGAAAAGAAAAAAGAAAAATCATTCATGTTAGTACATCAAAAAATGAGCATGCTCTGCAAATTGTAACATTTTCCGTCACGCAAAGATGTGTTTAAATGACCAAACGACCACATCTGGTCTCATCATGGCTGTCCCTCACAGATCAGCTCATATTGGGGGACACCGTTTGAAAAAACAACTCTTGATTTCAAAATGTTTCTTAAAACGGTTAGAACGAAAATTAACAGTGTTTGTATGGAGGAGGCTGAGTTTTTCCACCCGGAACTGCTGCCGAATTGTTTTCTGTCCGCTTTCATGTGGAAAACAAGACAAACGCAAAATAATTTGTGTTTCCTTTTTGTTTTATGTTATTTTTGACATTTTCAATAAAAATGCTTCGTTTTATAAGATCATGCGACATAAATAGAACCCCCCAAAAAAACAAAAAACAAACATCTTCCCTATTGATGACTAATAAACATATACATATAGACACATAGGTTTTCCCTTCAAACTCTGCATACAGCTTCCAAACAGCCTCCATTTCTGTTCCAGTGTCTCTGGAATTACTGACCCACATTTTCCAAAAGGTGCCACCTAAATATTTGGTTGTATATACATTTTTGTTATTAGACATGCGCCCCTGCTGCATCCGTCCCAGTGTGTGAGGTGGATAAGAAGGAAAAAGGCTCTCAGGACAGTAATGTCTGAACCTGCTGAGGGGATCTGGGCACCAGGTTTTCGGGGTCCTTGTAGGCGTTTGTTGGGCTGGTCAGAGCCGTATAAACCTCTCTGTAGGCTCTGCACACCAGGTCTGTCGACTGTTTGAATATCTGCTCCCTGCAAAGACAGAAAGCTCTTTAACGGATGGGCTTGACGAACCACTAAAGAAGGTGGTGAGTGCTCCTTTTAATCATTCTAAATCCGGCGTCTGAAGCTGTGCTCCAAAAGATCTCTGATCCAGAGCTGAAACAAGTCAGACTGAGCCAGAATTGTTTTTTTTTTTTTCACTTCCACAAACCAATGTGTTCCCCGGCTGCACCAAAACAAAGTGTGACAGTGTGTGGTGCACACTGCCATCTATGGATATGCATAACAAACCAGAAACTGGTTCAATCACAGCAAAACAGAAAGAGAATATCAGGTGTCAGTGTGTGTTGATCCTGTTGGCCATACATGCGAAAATAATCTTTCCTGTTATGGGTTTCAGGGTAAGTATGCTTTTAAGCCAGACTAAACATGATATTTGATGTTTTGCACAGGTCTGCACTTGGACAGCATTCAATTGTCTATTACTTTGATTAAAACGTGAAAACACTCCCGTTTTTATCTTCCCTGCAACAATATTTTCCTCTTAAATTCGAGGCCAGATTATGAAAGAATTTCATTTTTGTAACAATATTTTATGTTGATTATCAGAATTCAATGGATCCAAATGTCACTTTGGACTAAATAAAGAGTAAAAACTATCTCTGTGGGGAATGAAACCATCATTTTACAGAGGAGTTCACAATGAGAATGGCACACTTGGATTAAAGAGCTTGGTGAAAGGACTAGAGGACACAGTGGAGGCGCCTCAGTTGTGTCCCTCTCAAGCTCTTGAGAATCCATATTTTTTAATTGGCCCGCAGAGAGTGTGGCACCGCTCTGCAGAGCTACACCTCATTCAACAGCCACCGCAAAGCGCCAATGTGAAATAAAGAGCCTGAAAATCACGCTTCCATCATTAGTGTACGCCAGGAGATTTTTTTTTCATGCATTTAGGTTAACGGGGGGGGCAGGGGAAAGAGGAAAGGAGGAACAATTTTGGGCAACAAGTGTGAGTGAGAAATGAACCAGAAGCTAATTAATGGCGTCCTGCCCATCAGTTCTCCCATGTCCATTAATAGAGAACATTAACCTGAGGTACAGAGTGCTGCTTAAGCCTGTTGCACTTCCCAGTAAGCCTAACACACACAGCCCACGGAGGCGGTAGCTGGACTGAGCTAAAAGCATGTGCGTTTTCTGATCACTAAGAAAAAATCGAGGCGCTGTTTTGTCCAGCGTGCAGTAATGATTGTATTACATCTGGGAGACTAATAATGTTGACCATTATTCGACCCAACCGCGTGTTCTATTTTTACCCTCCCTGAACATGCCCTTCCTCCTGTCGGCACACCACGTCAGGCCTTAATATGGCGGCCGCACGTTTGCGTACGTGCGCGGTGAAAATCAACATTATAGAGACGTTTACTCACTTAATGGCTGCACTCAGCAGGAAGTTGAGCTGCGGCATAACAAGACTGTCGGGTGACGACAAGTACCGGTCAAACTGAACCTGCAGTCGGTGTGGGACAGAGAATCAGAGCGTCAGAACTCAGGTTCCTGCAGGTTATTCAGCTCTGCTGGTTCATGAGGGGGGGCCCACCATTGCTGCTTTCACAGAGGAGCTGTCCATGCTGGGGAGGAGGGACAGCGAACCCTGAGAAAAGAGAAGTGAACTTCAGCTCTCAGTCCAACACCGAGTCGGACCAGTTAGGACATAAGATGGAGTTTGTTTGTTTCTGAATCTTCCATGCTAACCAAAAGATTTTGTGGAGCCATGTCTGCACTGCAAGCTCTCTTATCAACACATCTCACTTAAAAAAAAAAGAAAAAAAAAAGACACCCTGACACACCAACTTCCTGCAACCCATAAAGAAAAAAAATTGTTTGAATAACTCAACTTGTGTGCTTTGATTTGTGCAGAACAGAAATGTCCTACTTAAATCCTGGTGTCAGACAAAGTAAATACATGTCTGACTTTGTGTACACATCAGCAGGTACCTGTAAGGCAATTAGCTGTGGCAGACCATCTGAAATGGTGGCATTAAGTCAAGCTTAAATGCCTAAATTGCCAGCATTAAAAGCAGCAAATAGAAAAAAAATGGGAAGGTACGAAGCAACGGTGCAGCACCTAGAGTAGTTTTATATGGTTATGAGGGCACTATGACAAACATGCTACGAGCCACAAACTCATCTGTTAGTCACAATATGTGTCAGGACTATATCAAGGTTTTGTTTCTAAGATAAGTTTGGCTCAAAGATAAATACAGGGATTCCTGTAAGTCACTGACATCTGGGATTTAGTGAAGTGTGAAGGTCTAGAATTACAAATGCACAACCATTTAAAAAAAAAACCCAACACAGACCACCCAGGTAGTGAAAAACTTTGCAGAAGAATGACAGTTTGTAACTGAGCAGCTGGGTGTGGTGTGTCCCGACATGACCCAGAGTCAAGACTTGCATGCTAAACCACAACTATGGGTTTCAGTGAGACCAGTGGCAAAGTGTGAGAGGAGAGGAAGAGGGAGGAAGGCTCCGAGCCATCAGCGCTCTTATCTGCACAAGACATTTCAGGGAACGCCAATATATTTTAATAGAACATGACACAATCTGTCTTTCCCTGTCCTTCTCTCATCTGAAAATCTGATGGAAATGTTATTATGCTCCAACAAATGCAAAGCTCATGTGGTAACCATAGCGATGGTAAAGCCTATAAACTCTTCCAAAGGCCAAATGGATTGCGTGAACAATACTGTAGGCTCTGGAACGCACAGAAAAAGGACTACAGGGGTTGTGACAGGAAAAACGTAAAAACAAACAACAAAAAAAAGCTGAAGATCTACAACTCTGGAGCTCCATTGAGACCTGCTCTGGGCTGTGCTGCTGCACACAGCTGTAGATGTAACTCAGTCCAGCTCTGGTCAGGACGTAGGACGCCTGCTCGTTGATCAACGTGTCTAGGTGAGCCTCAATCTGAAAAAAGAAAAAAGGGAGAGCGTGCCTTAGAATTGGGTCCATGCCTGTATTGTGAACAAATGGTACTTATAGTTAATTAGGAATCACTGTGCCATTGATGATGAAACTTCGATAGGAGCTCTTGTGGTGTTCAATTACAAAAGATGGACTAAAAATAGAAGGATGGATGGCCCACTGAGCACGGACAACAATAAATGACGCACACTCTTTTATGGACAGAAAATTCTATCTTTTTCGCAAAAGATGTCCTCTTTTAATGAAAGGCTCCAGAATAAATAACAATTTCTCCTGACAGACAATGTCATCTCCTAAAATTGCAACTTCATTGTTCATTTAGTCTAGTCTAATTTAGGTTTGTAACCTAAACACATCACATACAATTAGATCTAGTACAATTAAACAAAAAAATAATTCATACTTATTAGGAATCTAAAATAAAAAAGGGTACAAGTACAAGAATTCTAAGACTTCAATGAAAAATATATTTTTCGCTCTTAATTCTATGATAGATAGCCATTTATGACAGGGACAAACCAACCTGGAATTCAAGCATCTCCAGCCTCTTGTCGGTGAATTCAAAAAGGGCCAGTGTGGTCTTCATGACGTACAGGGAGTTGACCATGTAGGTGGCCATGTCCGCTGTGCCCAGGTTGCTGGCTGAGACGGTGCACAGTTGCAGGAGCGGATCCAGGATGCAGGACAGGACCTGTACCGGGCCAAAAACATGGAGTTTTACGCTAGAAATTTAAAATAATTCAAGAAACAAGGTCTGGTGTGTAGGTTGCTGTGACATCTAGGGGTATAACCAGCTAATTGCATCTGGAAACCATTGTGTCGCTTTTAATCCGGAAGGTTATTGTTGAGTCGGACTACTGTTGCCCCAACGACAACAGAGTAGAAACACAGTTTTACCTGAGCAAAGTCAGCTTGCCGTGCATCCAGGGGGACTACAGAGGAGTCATGGGAGGCGAGCACCTCCCTGAGGAGGGAGAGGGTTTGGGTGAGGGATGCTGTGGGTCCGAGGTCTGCCGGAGGAAGCTCCACCTGCAGACAGGCCCATGACGGCATGAGGCAAAGCACACGGGACGGCACAAACAAGAGGTGTTAGTTTCAGAGGTTTTTTCAAATGTGAGCCTTAGCCTTTTATGAAAAAAAGCAGCCCTCTTAATGCCACCGATGCAATAAACAAACTCAATTAGCGGATGCACAATGGATGAGAAAATGTCCAACTCTCTGAGCATCCGTCTGCAGCGCTTTTGTAATGAAGAGGGTTTTGATTTCATTGGTCTCTGGACACACAATGAAGAAGTGAGCATGGCCACCTTTGTCCATCTAATAGAGCAAATTATGAAGAGGCTGTGTTCCTGGCATTAGCTGGAATTGACACCAAAACCCTGAGGGTCTCAAATCTGATTAACACCGTGCTACAGGGATAATTCCTGTAACTGCTATTGATCAGGACACAGGCTGCATGTAACGTGGGAGAGCTTGTGCTGAGGTATATTTGGATGGCAATTTCACTAAATGGTAGCAAGTATGGCGTTTCTTGGCAGCTAGAAGCCTTTTTGCTGTTGTGGCCAGGAGGCTGAAACTGTTTACAAGAAGAAGTGTTTCAGAAATAGCCTTGTTGTCTTTGAGGGTTTAGACTTTGAACTGAAATACACAATGTGTGTCCAAAGTGAGCAATACTAAGCAACGCTGCACTGTCATTTAAGCATTTTTATGAAAGAACATTGCGAACCATCTCTACTTGCTTTAAAAAAAACAGTTCCTCTTGCATGAAGCCTCCTCTTTTATCTGTTTTTGTACTTATGGGTGTTATTACCTGAGCAGTCGCTCTCTTACATCTGCACAAATAAGTAAAAGTGAAATAAAAATCCCAGAGCTTGCTCTGACAGCACCTTGTCCATGAGTCTGCTTGCGTGTAGACTCAGGCTATTGAAGAACATTTTTTTGCTGAGGAGGTGCATTTCCTCAATAGTCATGAGCAAAAAGGCCGTTTTGGTCCCAATAATAGAGCTGAAAAAGAAAAAAATGGCAAATTAGAAAGGAATAATTTATATTGTGTCCAGTAATCATTTCAAATGTATAATCAACACTTTTAAAAAACAGAATCACACTAAGCTTTGTTCTATTACTCCTATATAGATCAATAATAAAAGCAGAGTCCTCATCCATTTAGAATGGTGATAAATCAAGCATCTCAAACAGAAAACACCTAGAGTTAGTGTGTGTAGCAAACACCTGATGGTGTGGTGGTAGAACTTGAGCAGGTTGGACAGCTTGTAAAGCAGGACGGCTCCTGGCTCTGCCACGATGACTTGTTCTATCCGCACCTACGGAGCACATCGATTACAAACAGACAACACCAGCAGAACACGACCGAGCCAAGCAGGCCCTCCACAGCAAACCCATCAGACTCAAATAGTTTAAAACTCATTTGGCTGCCCACCTTCAGCGGCCTGCAGACTCCCTCTGTGATGTGTCCCACCACCTCTTGCATGTTGTCCTCCACACCTAAACAAAAGAGAACACAAAAAAATGTCCACAAATTGAAAATCAAAGTCATGTTTGGGCCTTTAGCTGGAATGTGGAAAGTGTCTGTTGTACAAAATGGATGTATCTTAAATAGTGATATATTCTAGTAACGATTATTAGCTTATTAGCGACAAAATATGCAAATGTCTCCTCTTTCTAACTCACACTATCGCCTTTGTCAGCTGCTGCCAGACAATTATGTAAAGCACCTTTCCAAAGCCTCCCTCTATGTGCATCAAGCTGTGAAGACATAGATGGAATACGCTACACAGAAAGTAGGTACCGTAATATTTGTCAGGAGCTGTAGCTCAGGGGAATGAGCACACCTGCCAAAGTACTGGACATTTCCATTTCGGGCTATTTATTGAAGTGTCTTTTGCTAAAACAACAAGCCCCAAGTTGTCTAAGAGTATCCATAACCTGTATCCTTGTCATTGGCTCTGGATAAAAGTGTATTTGTAAAGGAACTTTTTTGAAGAGAGAAAGAAGAAGTTAGAGGTATGATACAATCTAATAAAAGGTCACATGACCGACCAGCTGAGGGGTCGCACCTTGCATTGTGACTTGTTTAAGCAGGGCTTCCAGATGTTCTTTCTCTGAGGCGGTTGCTTGATGCAGCCAGGCCAACATGTCCCCGACATACCTGACAGAGTGACAAAAACGCCCCGCATCAATGCACATGTCACTCCAGCAACACAGACAGGGATCGTCTTACACTGCCACACTGAAGCGTGGCTCATCCAATTCTACTCCAGTCGCACTGCAAATGTCTTTGGCGGTTACATAATGGTGGAAAAACAGCAAGTTAAACTTGGTGTGTGTGTGTTTGTGTGAGTACGTGTGTGTGTGTGGACATGGGGAGGCAAATGAGAACTTGATGTTCTCAGAACTGCTGATTCCTCCTATAAAACTGAGGTGATTTTGTGTTCCACACATGGGTAGTATTCTGAGAAAATCTCCTATTTGGCTGCTGGGTGCAGAGCAGGAGGATGTAATACGACAGGAAAGACGGGAGCACTCTGACACTTTTAGCTAAAAAACAAACAGCTTGGCCTGATTGATTTCGATTTCAAGAAAAACAAACTCACACACATATGTATACACATATATATATATATATATATATATATATATATATATATATATATCAGAGGAGCTTTAGAAGGGTCCTGTGTTTCCAAAAACAAACCCAGCGATTTAATTGAGTAATTTATGTGTAATGAATTTAAAATAGTTCTAGAGATGTATCAACATTTTTTGTGTTTTATACATTATCTTATGATAATGAAAAATTCTAAATTAAATCTGTCTGTTTAATTTGAATTATGTGACATTTTGTGTAGTATTGATTTTTAGTTTAGTTTATTTTGCTGCAGGGAAAAGGACTTGAATGATTAATTCATAATGCCATTGCGTAAATTCCGCGTTGACAGGACAAATGACAGAGTCCTGATACTGAACATTTTATCCAAACTTTAATAAACTACATCTGTCAAGTAGCTGGAGAAACTGTGAGCAACTTTGTCCAAGTGAAGGAAATGCCACCAATTGTTATCATTTCAAGGTTCCTTTTGGAAACTGGGCACTTGTGGCATTTCTTAACTGGCTACTTTGTCTGTGTGACAATTCTAAAAACTAAAATATTATTTGGACACCCACCAATTCAATTCAAAATGACAGAAATCACAATAAATCAGTCTTTCAGGGTCAGAAAGACTCTTTTTCTTCTCGTCCCAGATGCTGCATCATGCATCTATTTTTTAAACATCTGTGGTGCACATCTTTTTAAATAAACGAGAAAGTGGGACAAGTAGCAGTATGTAGGAGGTTATTCTTAAAATGTCAAAAGGAGATCAACATGGGAACATTAAAAAGCCTTTCAACATTGTGTTCCAAAAACTAGTTTAGTCTATACTTAATTAAAGCTTAATTTTTATTTTTATTCTATGAATTCATTTTAATATATGGGAAAGTTTTCAGTGAGCCTTTTAACAAGTGGACTTCTAGAAATGAAGTAAAGTAGTAAAAAGATTGGAAAGTGTTTGCCATTTGGAGCGGTGGAATAGAATAATCCTACGTAAAACCTGAAGTAGGATTTCATTTATGACATTTATGTTTAGCAGATCTAACATAGAGGTTTGGAGCAACTTTGGTAGTAGTAATTGTAGTAGTAACATAGTAATAAGGCCAATTTACTTTAAGTTAAAGTAAATACAAGTCAACAATGCAAATCAGGTTTCAGAAAAGGCATTGCAAAAAGATGCAAATCTTCCCGTGAGTCTTAGATAACTTTCCATTTTAAGGTTTTATATTATGAGAACACTTTACCATTTGACTGTATGAAAATAACTTTGTACTGCAGTTTGGATTTAGACGGACAGACAAAAAGAGCCAAGCAGAAAGGCCTCATGCAGGAAAGCAGGAATGGCTTCTGTGACCACAGGCCTGTTTACCAGCTGTACCTCATCGGGTCGTGTGAATGCATCTCTATGGGGCGGGGGGTTCCTCCGGGCCCGCCGCGGGTCAAGGCGTCAATGAAGCCTCGCACCACTGCACACCTGCGTGCGGTCCCAAACTCATCCAGGGTGTACCTCAACACAACACAAGAGAAACCAGGATTAACTCAATACCTGAGCCTGGTGTGAAAAGTCCTGTTGTGGAGACTGAGTGCTGTGGCCAGTCTCTAACATCAACAACGTAGGCAGCTTTTCCAAAGGGAATGAGTTTTGGGGGTTTTCCAATGACTTGGTGGTGACCAGCTCTGCGACAGACTAAACAGAAGATAATGTTGAATTAAGAAGCCAGAAACGCTGGTGTCCAGCCTCAACAAACTCAGACAGAGTATGGCCTTGGATACTTTGTGGGCACACAGACAGGTGCTCTTCAACAAACACAAGGGAAGGCTGGCCTTGAAAACATGTGAAGGTGCGAAAGCTTCATTTGTTGTTTATTTTCCCAAGGATAAATTTAGAACTGCAGTGAGGGAAAGGAAGTTCTGCAAAAATGCATGACTGTTGTTGTATGAGAACATGTTCCATTCTCTTTTAGAGGGCTGCATGCATTTATTTTATTCTGTTTTTTACATAGTGCTCAGAAATGTTCACTGCTTTGTTTGAGGGTTACTCTGCATCTGTAGTTGTGAGATGGATGGTGTTCATATGCATTTGAGTTAATGCAATAACACCCAATGAGCCACATATGTATAAAAAAACTGAATGTGAGCAGACAGAATGTTATTTCTGCCTTCATGCTGTTGCTCCTCTGGAGTGGTTCCGGTCCACTGGCAGTCTGACAGATAAATGCAAACATTCCTCTGGTGCATGTGTGGCTGTGACATTTTCTGTTGCTTCAGGCTGTTTTAGCTTTGTTGTTTAACAGCGCCCACAGATGACAGTGGTGCTAAAACATTGAGCCTTAAAATCGTACAGTCCACATCCAACATTAATTACAATAGCTATGTCTCTGTGTTTGTGAGTGTGCATTCGCCTTACTTGTAAAGAACGGGGCGATCTTGTAAGGCCTCCATGGCTTGAGTCAGTACCGGGCTGATATCACATGTCTCCTGAGTGAGTCCTCTGCATTCATCTTTGGAAAGAACGAGGGGAAAGAAGTACATCCCTTCAACTCAGAGCTGCATAATGTTTTAGACCATGACAGTTCTGTCGCTTACATACACCCTAACCCTTCATTACCATCATCACACTTTGCTCGTGCACCACATAAAACCAAATAAATGGAGAGCGAAAGGTAATAATGCTCCACTGTTAACCTGGAGCTGCAAATACAGGTTAAATAAGTTTGATTTTGTTTTAAAAAGACCCTTCACAGAATCCATGAACTGACCCAGAATGCAAACAACCAGCATTATGACCTATAGTGCAGCTTTCTTATTTCTAAACAGAAGAGTCTCTGGAACAACACATCTATTTGATTAATTTTCTACTCAGTCATGATCACTTATAGAATCTAATAGCTCAAGCTTCACGGTTGCCCATGCAGGGTTTGGTATCTAACGGCTGCAGATCTACGCAGCAACCTTTGGGCTGGTGAAGGACTTTGCGAGTGCTCTATACTTTGTCTCTGTGTAATTACCCCAAAGAGGTTTCCGTGATCTAAACAGTTTATTTCCATTTTGATTTCAGCATATGCTTAAGTTGTGGAACTTTTGGTTCGCAGACATTCTTTTGGCAAAGACAGTCACAGGATGTGAGTCATATGCGTGCTTAAAGAGGTCTGACACATCGAATTGTTTTTGCTGGAAAGATGACATTTTTCTATTTGAATAAATACTTATGAATGAAGTATTGAGGGCAAAAGCAAACTTATAACACAAATGATGTGATATACACTTCTCATTAAATTTAGAATATGTTCTAACCTTGTACACAACAGTCCTAAGTGACCCCTAAATATGCTTTTTGCAGTCATTTTGCACTCACTCTGAGCCCAGCGGTACAGTTGCTCATATGAGGTCTCCTGTAACACGGCCATCTGCTCCATGATCTCTAACCTGGAAGAACACATTCCCACAACACACACAGACACCAATACTGTCATAAATACCATATCTGGACTTTTTTTTGTGTGTCCCTCTCTCATTATAGAAAATATATAACAATAAAAATGTATTCACCAATAAAATAAAACAACTGTACTAGACACTCCCAGTTTTACTGCCAGCGGAGTCCAAAGGACCAGACTGGAGTCAGATGTGAACCTCACCCTGCAGTTTGCTGGTTCGTTCGCAGGAGCACTTTTACGTCCTCGTGAATGTTCTTCACCCGGCTGAGAACTCGGAAAAAGTCCTGGGAAATATAACAACAAACACAAGCCTGAATTACACAGATTTTGACTAGCGTCAACAATTCAATTACGATTTTTTTAGGAATCAAAACTGTTGTGAGATACACACAAAGCTTCGAACTTATGTTCATGTATTTATTTATTTATTAAGTTATCATACTCCAGACTTGAGAAGATTCCATGCTGGCATTATTAGATATGGAAAATTAAGTAAGTAATTTCTGTTAAAGTACAAGTAGCAACACAGCTGATTCTTAATAATCTGCATCCTTTATCTGTCACCATAGCAGGAAGTTAGTCAAATGAGAGGAGAAACAGATTTGTTTTCTAATTTATTGACTGTGGATGAAGAGCACTGATATAAGGATTCAGACACATAAAAAATGGCTCCTAAAGGTATTTTGTTCTGATAAAAACTACTAATCTTTTAGTGGGGTTTAAGTTCAGGTCTTGGAGCTCGACATCAGTCCCAGTTTTTCCTGGAACATGGGTCAGTGCTGAACTGGAAAATTTGTAATAATTTGGGATTCTTTTTCATTTTAGGATTGTGAAAGATAAAGGAAAAGATCCCCATCGAGGGGGAAAAGTGCACGTGGTAACAGAGGTTACCTCTGTAATGGGCCCATCGCGGGCGCTCCTCAGGGTGGCCATCTCCTCGTTGGACAACTGGAACTTGGCAAGGAATGCTTGAGCAACCTGAGCTCTCACCTCCAGCCGATGACTGAAAGGAAAAAGAGAAAGGCTTCACACACCTTTTTAATGTGGTTTTGTTTACAAGGATATAGCCTACCTAAATCACACACATACTGTATTTTCTTCCTTTAGCTTCAGGTGAGTAATTGTTGTGATTCCTTAAGCCTCTATGGAAATTGATATCTTTCAAAAGTGTTTTATAACGGAGTTTAATCAGATTTTAATCCAGAAACATGCTTAAAAAAATCTATGATGATGTTTCTTTCAATATGAAGGGGTAGAATCGAGCTAGCTTTCAGCAGTATGCTATGCTCAGATTTCTCCAGCAGGTGGCGATCACACTCTTCTCACGCTCACAGAGAGCCCAGAAAAAAGGCGCTGATATGGAAGAAGTGAGAAAAAAGGAATATTCAGAGGGAGGAAAAAAAGAGCCGGGCCGGATGCTAGCCAGGTTTTTTGTCAGCAGAGAGATCACTATCATGTCAGGAAGTGTCTCCACACAATAGCGACCATGGCAACCGGCCGAGTCCAACAGGGAACTCTGCCACCGGCCGGCAGAGCAACAGCAGGTCCTCCCACTGCTCCCATCTTTCTGCAAAACATATCCTTCCTATATATCCTCCTTCCCATTAATAGTGAGACTTGAGCAGTAAATCACCGGGTCATTTCGGTCCAGCAGAATAACCTGCTGATTATCTGACCTTTGTTGGTCACGTGGCTAAAAGCTGGCTCAGTCGGCTGGAGGTAAAGGTTACAGGAAGCAATGATTCAGTACTTCATCTAGCTCTGAACACTCCACACCAGCACACACAATGTTTCAAAAGTCTTATTTGCCATTTGAGAGTTCTTGTATTGGAGTTTTGTTGCAAACTGCAAAGTTGTCGGATGCTCAGATAGACTCAACAAGCCACTCGGTTTGGTCCACATCATCAAAACTGAAAACCAATCATTTTTCCACCCTGCAGACACAAAGGCTCTGCCGTCTGACAATGTAAAATGTTTTGGTCAGCCCGTGATTTGTATCTGTAATTACAGTACAGCGTGGAGGTAATGTACCACAACACAGTTACACAATTAGCTGCATAAACAAACACACAAAGCATGCAAAACAGGGACAAAAAAAGGGACTAAGAATTTATCGGCAACAGTCAGAGATGCATTAAAACAAAAGTCCCTAAAACACAGTAATACCCGACCACAATTACAACCGTATGTACAGAATTAACAAGCTACGCTAATGAGATCATTAGTTAAATTGAGGGAAGCATTCATTATCAAAGCAATTTCAGGGAACACGCTTGCTTCACACAACGTTTGAGGAATATTAAAGTAAAAAAGTATGTGTATAGTACAGTGAAGAAGTGTAGCTGTCCGAGCCGGAACATTAATTCCATCAGTAATATGCAAATCGTGAAGAACTAGCTAATTAAGTCAATCCTGCTTTTGTACGAAACTGGGCTTATATAGATATAGAGTCTTTAAAAATGAAGGAAGAGGACACAATGTAGAGTATTAAAATAAGCAAAAATATACATATATATATATATATATATATATATATATATATATATACACACATATATATATACACACTTATATATACATATATACACATATCTACATATATGAAATGAGAAGAAAAACAGAAAAATTATAGATCAGGTTTGTGAAGAAGCACAAAGAAGAGCCTATTCTCTATTAGTGACCTCATGAATTCACTGCTGGAGCAGAAAGGACCTTCGTGTTGACATCAAACTTACAAGAAATTAATTGTAAAAGAAACATTTTGCAGCTGCCACATCCAGGCCACCAGGGACGGACGGGCTCCTCAAAGATGTACAGTAGATCATAAAAAGGACGGGCTGCACACTGCGTACAAGGCTGGGGCATTGTGGGAGGTCCCTGACAGAACAAAGACCATCCCAGTGCCGCTGGAACAGAGGCGTCTTTGGTGCAGCACTGTCAGGACATGACACATTCTTCTCAGGGCTGCAATCAGCGAATACCTGAGAGAGGCAACATACTTGGCTGTGTGACATCACACGGCGAGGAAAATGGCCTTTACGTGCCATATGTTCAGAGGAAATTACAGCAAGTGTTCTTGAACCGTCCTCTACGAGGGGCAACTTTAATTTAGATCTAAGCCAGGCAGCAGGATGACCTCATGTGGTAATGTCGATTACTCTTGCCATTTTTTGTCTGTTCAAAGACAGAAATCGGTTAGAGAATATTATTCAGTGCAAAATCATAAACGTCTCCGACAAAAAGCTGAGCCTGAAATCACATCCCGGTCTGTGAGAGCTTGACTACAAGGCAGCAAATGTCCAGTTAGCACACATGTTGGGGACCATATGGGCTGATTAGCCATTAAAATCAGAGGAGGAGCGCTCCAACGAGCAGAGTGGAAATATGTCATTCACAAAGCTGTTAGCTACGCTCCAGTGATTTACACCACTGAAGAAAAAAAACTTCTTTTTTTTTTTTTAAAACCAAACAAGGAAAACTCACTACCGCTTCCTATTAGGACCAAGCTGGGCTTTAATAGTGGTTTCACATAGGTTGTTATTTCCATTCTGGTGTCTCAAACTGTTGATCTGAGGTATTCAGCCATGGGATTTATCAGCGACCTAGACCGGAGCTATACAGGGAAAACTGGCTTCTTTCTAGGAAGAATGCTCTCAGAAACACACTAGAGTTGCTAAAAAGCTAAAATCAAACGGGTTGTGGTTGGTCAGAATTGCCCTTCGACAGGTTCTGTATCTGAGCATGGAGTTGGAGAAGGAGAACGCTTCACCGCCTCCAGCTCCAAAGCGGCGTCCCTCAGTCAGCAGAAACATCTGTTCGCTGGTGGCGTCAGCTTGTTAAACATTACATCGGCCAGGTGGGCAGCCTTTTATTTCATTATGGAACAACACACAACGCTCACTTAGTGCTCCCGATGACAGTGTCTCTGAACAGGGCCGGTGGACAAACAGTGGACAAACAGCTCCACACCTCCTCCACCTTCTTTTTTTTTTTCCAGGAAGCAAACACCCTTGGTTTCATTAGAGTTGACAAACAACAAAGTGCCACAGACAGATAAGACAGCAAACAGCGCGGGGGAGACCTCACCATCGGCACATCCTTGGGTCCTCTAAACAGGAAATGTGTCTTTAAGCCTCAGATCAAGCATTGCTATAGTCAAATTCAACAGATCAAAAACAAACAATAAATGACACAGGAATACTGAGTGCTTGTGACCTGAAGATAAGATACAACCAGGAGTACTGAGGGAAGGATCCGGGGCTGAGGGAGGACAGCTTGCCCCCCCCCCCCCCCCCCCCCCCCCCCGGGCTGCTGCTCCTCTGGGGCAAAATAGCTAGAGACAAGGTCACAATGCGGCGTGCACAAACTCTCCAATACGGCTGTGAGGTTGGTGCAGCTCTGCGCATGAAAATGTCACCCGGACAGACAGCAGGTCCCCGAGGGAACACGGAGCAAAGAAACAGGGGGGGGCGGCTGGGGGGGGCACTCAGTGCCGGACACAAACGAGAGCACAGTCCTTGTAGGCGCCATATGCCCATTTATGTGCATTTATGTATATTTATGTGTATTTTGAATTTATTTGTTTATGTGAATTTGATATGTCATTTAAATTAATAAGTGACATTAAGAATTTAAGTTTAAAATATTTACAAGTTAAAAATGTGAATTTTAAATATCTATGTTACCTAATGCACCTTTTATGACGTGGTAATTATGCGCCAGGTGCCCAGTAAGGTTGCCTTTGTGAAATTAACACGGCAGGAGGAAGGTTGGTGCCTCACGGTTTTCTGACCGTGTTACGCTCGTGCCATGCACGTGACGTGCTCGTTTGTAACTTTAGATTTAGATTTGTGAAAGTTTAGGAAGTATACATTTTATTTCTGTTCGTTTTTTTTAACGCCTTTGTTTTAAAGTAAAATAGCAAAAACGTGACGTCAGTGGAAGCTATAGTTTTTCGGATCCTGGAACACGTGTCGGCCACAAAGCTCCAACCTATAACGCATTTTTACTGAGACTTTTCGAAAATACCCTACAGTCCTCATTCATGGCCCACACGCGCTCACCGGGGGCTTCATCCCCACGGCTGTCTCTCACTCCCGGACTCAGAACTAATCTCCTCCCCTGCTTACGTGCCGGTCTCTCTCTGTGAGGGAGCCACTGTTGATAGGAGGGTGGAACATGGATAGCAGCAGCACATCATCACTGCAAACAAACCTACATCCTCCCAACCAGAGCCTCTGCCTCTGTGTCAACTCACAAGGTCACTCAGGACCACAAATACTTTACAAAGATAAACACATCCCTCCCCACACTCCCGGTGGACGTGGTGCAGAGATGCGAGAGCCAAACAGCCTGGCATTGTGGGACAATAGCAGACTAAAGCTCAGTTTTGATCCCCAAGGAGCAAAATACTTATGGATGCCACTGGATAATCATATCACCAGTCCCGGTAATGAAACTGCTGACGGTCCTCTGCGCAATGCGCCTCAACAGATCTAATCTCGCTGTAGCTGAACCACATTAGATCGACCGTGATTGGCCAGCAACAACAACATGGAGGAAACTTGTAACAGTCTGAGTTGTGCGACGCACACTGTGGTAGACCAGATTTTAAAAGGAGCTGTAATAGTCCGATTCCTTGAGGAAAAGGGCCCAAAAATCCCGGATTTATGGAAGTCATTCAGCCAAAATCTATTTAATTGCATCTATTATAGTAGAAATATTCCACATCAACGCTTTGACTCAATGTAACAAGGGTCTCGTTATTTTGAAAATATGTTGTCAGCATTTTTAAAACGCATACTAAAATACAAGAGGACATCTGTGGAGTGCCATTGGTTGTAACAACTGGATTCAAGAGCAGTGAGGTATAGATGGGACCTGCTGACAAACATCAAATCCCATAAAACAAATAATGTTGCATTAAAACGGACTGAGGTCCAACAAACCCTGTCCCCAGAAAATCAATTCCCCAGTACTTATATGAATGTAAAAAAAACGAAGTTTCTTGTGTTGCGTTTCAGAGAAGCTCCAAACTTTTGTGGAAATTGGGTTAATAAAACTGCAGAAGTTCTTCCAGTGACTCTCATGATTTATTCATCCCTACTCAGCAGATATCAGGATGTGCATACCAGCCCTTCCTACTTTGCCCTGAATTGCTATAACTCTCACAAACTCATCAGTAGGCCTATTTACATCTCACTTTCAAGCTGGACCTGATTTGATGTGAGTGAATGACCCCGGGGGAAAAGTGGCAGCTGTCTATTTTGTGCCGATAAACACTTTGTGGAAAAAGACCTGCAAGCTAAATAAACAACAAAAACAGATTTGGGTGAATACATGGGGAAGAACGGGGAACCTCACAAATGTTAAGCTATACATTTTGAGAAACAATGCAATGTTACCCATCCATGCAGATCCAAAATCAACTGTAAAATCAAAGGTAAACACATGTAAAAAGAACCAAATTAGCCCTATAGAGGAGTTTGAAGAGAGTGCCATTTATCTAAAAGATTAGCTCAACAGGGAAGAGGTGAGTTCTGCAGCAGAGAGTGAAAAACGAGAGTGTCCTGGTTTGTGCTGATGATGATGCTTATCAGTGACGTATGTGACAGCTTTCCAGAATGACTTACAGCTTTAAAACTGATAAGTAAAGATAGTGCTTTATGGTAGTTTTAAATGTAAAATGTCACTGTCAGTTTACCGTATATTCAAGGGAAGAATCATTGAGAAAGAATTTCATTCTCAGGACAGACTTTCACATGAATGAGGATAAAAAAATTTAAATGACAGATGGTGTGATTAGACTAATTCCAGTTAAGTCAGATTGGCGTTTTGTTTACATGTTTTTTATGGAAGATGTAATGACACAAATGTTGCAATAGAACTGACATGATTATGCACACAAATGAAAGAATTAAAACATTTTTAGATCCACCATTAGATTGATTTAAAAGAAAAATGTTTGTTGGGATATAAAAGTTCTGTCAACTACTTTCAACAATTTCTAGACAAACAGTAAACTAAACTTGCTGGTATGTTCTGTATTAAAATTTCCAACTAAAATAAATTATTTAAAACGTTTAAGTCAAGTATCAGCCATAATATCAACATAGATTTGATCACATTTAGAAACAACTCACTTTTCTCCCTGCAGCTTGTTGGTTTTTACGATGAGGTCTTGAGTTTGCTCTTTTGCAGCCTGTTAAAAACAAACACAAAAAATTTGGACATGCTTTACGACACCTTTTTTCAATAAATCACTCAAACCATTTAATGCACTGTATTCGGACAAGCTGAGTTTTAGCACAGCACACTGCAGACAAAACATGATCTGTGAAACTCACTGCCTACCTTTAGTCTACTGGTCATTTCCTCACAGCATGTGCTCATGGCCTGGACATCTTCATGGACACTTTCAAGCTCCTGAGGGAAAATATGGCATCAGACTCAGCTCTACTGCTCACACATGGTATCATTAACAGGTTTCGGTACTGATGTGGCAATATTAAAAACATCAATGACAGTTTGTACATACAATGGTACCCAAACAAACAGGAATCATGGGTTGTATATGGATGGAAAAGTATCTAGACAGAGCTGGGAATTATTAAAAAAAGAAAAACATCAGAAAACCCTTTGTGAATCAAATGTTGTTGAAGAAATTATGTTACCTCTTTAACTTCTTTAAACATTCGTGCAAATTCTTCATTGATTGTCAGACTTCGCCTCTCTATGTCGCCACGAAGGTTTCTTCTTGTACGCAAACTGTTCTCTGTGAAGAAGACTGACAGCGATTTGAGAGCCTCCAGCATCTCCTGCAAGAACAAAAGAGACAACATTGTCATCACTGTCAATCAAGACCTGAGACAAGTCAAGCACCGCCATACATCTACATGTAATGTATTAAGTATATTCCTCCTGTAAGCAACTGAGGCTAAAAACATCATTACAAGAGGAAACTGTAAACACAGTGTTCAGTGAATGGAGCAGCTGTGTATCTGCGATGTAGTTCAACTGACCTGAGCATTAAATACAGTCTGTCAGCTCCAAATGTTTACTTAAAAAATTGTTCAAATCAGTAGCTTGCTAAATTAGCTACTGTAAGCTAGCGACAAGCCAAACTCTTCCACCTTACCTTGTCATTGTCAAGTCTCGTTTCCAAAATTTTGTTGAGCTTCCTTGACAGCGGATTGTTGGGTTGAGAAGGCACATTGGGATTTGATGATATAGAGGAACCATCGGTAGAAATTTCTACTTTTGTGTTTGCCATGGTGCTCATTCGCTTCCACGTCAACGTAAACTATCTGAAAGCTGTTTTGGTCCGTCCGGATTTTACGTCCGGTCAAAGATGTGGCACATCGTTCCGTTAACTGTTTAAATTCGTTACTCAGTTGCAGATAAATAGTGGTAATTTATTTTAATTGTATATACTATCAAGCTATTTATGTAAAAACATTCTTATTTTCTAAAAGGGTCATATTTTGTGGAATGGTTTGATTCAAAACGTTAAAATTACGTGAGCAAACACTATATAGGCTATGTTTGTCTGCTATGATCAAACTCCAAGAAGGAGCATCAAAATGACAAGATGTAGAGGAAGATGGAAGTAATGTATGATATGATAGGGATGTTCAAATAAGATGTTCAAAACATTGTCGTCTAAATATAAATAATAACATACTAACTCAATACACAAATAATACACATTTAAAACAGAATAAAGCTTGTAAAAGAATAGCTTTTACAAGCTGTAACTTGCAAAAGAATTTGTTACCACATGACACTTAAAAACCTGAGACACCAGTTTTTGAAAGCCTCAAACAACGGAAAAAAAGTTTTTTTAAATGTGGTAACTTCAGTCTTTGCTAAACCAGCCAGGATTGTGCAGTCTTCAAGACAAAGGAATTACATTAGAACATTATGTTTCATACTGTGAATGATAACAACACAAACTCCAGTTTGTAACACATAAATTGCTGACAAACAACATACATAACTGCTGTGAAAAAAATTTTCATGAGAACTTGACCCCTTTTTCCAGGTTTAGTTTTTTTCTTGTACTTTTAATCCAAAAAACAATGTGTTACACAACTGCCTTATGCTCAAAGTTGCTTAGTTGTGTAATAAAGCTTCAGGTTGTTTACTGACTTGTACAAGGAGCTTTTTAGTGGCAGTATAAAAACTGACCAAGTCAAATTAAGACTTTAATAAAAACGTCTAAACATTCTAATTCTTTTGGTTTTGCCACATTTGTGGTGATGGGATTGTATCTCTGTCTCTGACAAATTTACACAGATTATTGGAATAATGGATACAGGACAAGTTTAAACATTTATTCAGATTATCATTGACTTGTTATAACAAATTTAGCCAACTAACCAGCCCCCCCCCCACTCGTAATCAATCCCAGACACGTTTCAGTTACACATCCTGATGCCATCGTTGGATTTTCGAGTCCCCCCTGAATGCACCAGGATCGTGCAGGAGCTGTGAGCGCTGAGCCCGGCCGCTGGGGGGGGATTTGTGTGACTGATGGTCGCCGTTCAGCACAGTTTCGTGCACCCGCCTCCTCCCTCTCCCTCCCCTCCCTCCTCCTCCTCTCCCTCTGAGCAGGAATGTGAAATCGGGAGTCCGGTCAGAGAGCGCCGTTCGTCGCAGGAGCGACCCACCGATCACCGCCTAGATCCCACATATCAGAGGAGGAATCGGTTCTTATTGTCAGGAGGATCCTGTGTGCACTTTTTTTTTATTCTAACGCTCCGCTGAATTAGATGTCTTTCCCCCTTTTTTCTGGACTGGAGAAAAGTTTGCTTTGAGAGCCCGCACAGCTGGAGCCCCCAGATGGAAACAGCCTCTCGGAGTCCACCCAGCGCACCTTGTTTCGGAAGTCTTGCAACATGTAAGATTTTTGCTCCTTTCTGTGGCTTATTCTCATTCGGAAAGCGTGAGATCCGCGATAGGGTGGAGGATCTTTGAGGTCACCCCTGCGGACGGAGCTCGGTGCGTCCCCGGAGAACCGGAGGCTCCTACCGGGGACCGGAGGGCTCCTGCCGGGGACCGGAGGGGCTCCTCCGTGCTGGATCTCTCCCAAAGCCTTCCACCCTGCGCTGCTCGTTGTTCATTAAGTCTCCAAATGCACGCCTAGAAGTTTTTTTTTGCCACGTCGTTTGCGCGTTATGTAATTTCAGAATAGCTGATTTAGTCGAGGTGTGAAGATTATTCTCAAAGTGAAAACGCACTGCTGAGTTACAGATGTTCTAACTCTGGGGTTTGTAGGCAGATCTCAACGATTAAAAAAGTCATCTGTTCTTTAGTCATGAGCTGCTTTTAAAGAAAAACCTGATATAAGAGGTAGGCTTAAAAATATCATTTAAATTCAATACAATAGAGAGTTTTTACTGCCAGGATTTTAATGATAATATATCTTTTATTGAATCATTGTTATCTTATTTGTACAGAGTAACTTTGTGGATTATATAATTCCATCTATTTCTGTTAGTTTCTGCCTAAACCTTTCAGTAAAACACAACAAAAAGACCCATTTAATGAGCAGCCTGTCTCAAAATACAGTTAAGCCATTAATGGAAATCTGTTCATTAGTCATTCTGCCTTTATCCATAAATCATTTGATTAACTGTGCATTCATAATTACTGCAAACAAAATCTATCTGGTTGGCGTGTGTTGTTTTGAAAGCTGGGAACTTGTTTGCGCGGCAGATTGATGAGTCGGCCCGTTTGTTTCTCGTCCTCCTGACAGGGACCCGGACTCGTCCAGGAGGTGAAGCCCGCTGGTGTTAGATGCCCAGTGCCAGGCCTCCAGCCACACCACTCCTCTGCCCGCCCTCCGCTCTGTGAACTCTCTGTCCACTGCCCCCATGGCGTCCAGCCTGACCTGTACGGGAGTGGTCTGGGCCCTGCTGTCCCTCCTCTCGGCGGCGGCCTCCTGCGTGGGCTTCTTCATGCCCTACTGGCTGCTGGGGGCCCAGATGGACAAGCCGGTGTCCTTCGGCACCTTCCGGCGCTGCTCCTACCCGGTGAGGGACGAGGAGAGGCAGATGACCGTCATGCTGGAGCAGTGCGGGCGCTACGCCTCCTTCCAGGGCATCCCCAGCGTGGCCTGGAGGGTCAGCACGGTGGTGACCGGCGTGGGCTGCGGCCTGCTGCTGCTGGTGGCCCTCACCGCCCTCATGAGCTGCTGCATCTCAGACCTGGTGTCGCGCACCATCGGCCGGGTGGCCGGCGGCGTCCAGTTCGTGGGAGGTGAGCTCTCCGACGTTTGCTCTGCGTTCGAACCCAGAGGGCCAGACTCACAGCGGGGATTCTGGGTAGTTTTAAGGGGTCAATTAGGAAATGTGTTGTTTTTGGAGAGATCCCGCCTTTAGGAAAAAATCTAACAAAATGCTACGGCTGGCTTTAGAAAAACAAAGAGTCCCAATTAATCAATTAATCAATCAGGTTTATTTGTATTGCCCTTTACAATACCCAAATGGTACTCAAAGTGCTTTACAACAAAGCCATAAAACAATACAAAAAACATACAAAACATACAGAAACAACTAAAAATGCTGTAGTGGTGCAGCGCTGCAGGGCATTAAAAGCCTTCCAGAAGTGCGTAGAAAGGAGCAGACAGAAGGAGGAAACCTAAGAGACCCTAGTCCGAATTAAATGCTAATTTAAAAAATTGGGTCTTAAGCTTTTTTTTAAAGCTGCCCAAGACAGAGGTGATATTATATTACATATGTGACGCTGTTTTTACTGCTAACCTCTTTTAGAAAAGAATTCTATTAAAAAGAAATGCTAAAAAAGTCGTTTTGGTGAAGACAAACACAGGCACAGATGCCATGATGCTGTTGTTGGCCAGAAGTCCTGCCGTCTGCCCTGAAAAGCTGCGGTTTCCTCCGATTCTCTGCTGCACAGGAAATGAAAACCCTCCCAGTAAAACCTTTCTCTTAAAGTCTTTTTTTTGCTTTAAACTAAAAAGAAAAACAACACATTTTAAGGTTTGGTGCCAATATTGAAGTTGCCCATCGTGCTGGATTGTTGAAATGTTACTGCTATGAGTTTTTGTGCTGCTTTTGTGGATGGCTTTTGGGTGTGTATGGCTTCGGGGGGTTTTTTTTAGGGGGGGGTAGGTTTGTTAATTGTAATTACCAAATGGAACACAAAATCTGTTACAGAAAAATGTGGTAAAATCATGTACACCTCCCTGTGTTTTACCCTCATCAATTCTTCGATTTGATACTTTTTTTCTGTCAGGCAGACATGTGGCATCAAGTTAAATCTTTTGTTAGTACTTTTGTAAAGTCATGGAAAATAATGAGGGCTACAAATGAGCTCAGGTTCTGCTCTCTGCTCCATGCAGAATGTTGATAGTTTTAGCTGGGAATGAATCCCGTCTGCTCTGTTGTAAATTGACTCGGTTGAGCTGGGCGCCCGCTTTGTTTATGTGTCCTGATGGCCGTGCACATGTGTGCGCGCTCGGGACGTGAGGTCTGAGGGAAAGCTCCCACTGAAGTTGCACATTTTCCTGCCCCAGTTAAGAAGCTGTGGTGTTTCGGGCCCTCTCATTTGCTCGGGGGGAAAAAATGTTTGCTCGCATACTGTGGCTTACCGCTCGGCTGTTCACAATCCCCATCACTTCAGTTTGGATTTAAAATGTGATGTGACAGAGTAGCAGGTTGCATGCAGATTTGATGTAGCTGCAAGGTTTTCCAGACGAGTAAATCTGCAGAGGACCACCGGAACACTCCATGTTGGGATTCTAAAAAGGCTTAGCTTCTTAGGAACATCACTATTAATGATGCACATTGTGGAGGATGACTAAGGTGAAAGCTGGTGGGGTGGGTAGAAATTTCACTCACTTTTATCGAAGGAGAACTCCTTTAAAGCTCACGACTATCACATATTTACAGGGCCTCACGAGCTGCTATTTTTGGCTACGGGATTAAAAAAAATCCCTGTCTGTCTTTCTCGCATATTCCCTTCTCGAAGACTCCCAATCCAGACGTGCTTGAATTTGGATCCTGGGAGGGTGAAGAAAGGCAGCGTACAATACAAGAGACGGCGCTCAGATCTTTTCATCTTGAATGCCAGCGAGCCAAAGGGCAGAGATGTCACACGGGGGCTAATTGGAAGTGACACCGCTAAGAAGCTCAGTTGGCCGTTGCGTTTATTGTTCTGTGTCGCTTCGAAAGAAGAGCGCCCGAATATCCGGGAAGTTTGGAGAGGGAACAGAGCGTACCTGCTGATTGAATCATTCAGCGCTCACTCCTTATTAACGGAGAACCTGGCAGGGAGATGAAGATCTGGAGGGAAGCAGCTGGAGTGGAGGCAGCGTCGTTTGATCAGATCTCAGCGATTAGCGGGAAACGGGGAGAGGAAACAAACCTGATGAGCCCCCTGGTTTACTCTCTGATGATGATGGTGTGTTGGAGGCCTCTAATGAAGAGCATTTTGGGGAGGGGGGGAAACCACAGATTAGATAAATCAGCTTCACATCTTCTCATCTTACATCCATCTCACTCCTGTGAACCCGATTAGATCTTAAGCATGCTCGTCCCATTGTTTACTACACAGTCAGAGAAAAACACGTCCCAATAATTGTTACTTTGGAAGATGTTCATTTCCTCCCAGTTAAGCAGAGCTGCTTCAGAGCCTTTACACTGCTAATGGCAGCCAATTTTCTTCGGGATGCAGTTTAAGTCTCGGTTTGAAGCAGATCTGGCTCATGAGGCAAAAAGTCTGACAGATTTTTCTGACACTTTTGTTGTAGCTTCTTGTCTCGGCTGTGTCGCCTCGCAGGCACGAGAACAACTGTGCTACAGACGAGTGCCTCAGACGTTTAAGGATTCCTGACTTTGGATTTAGTTGTTAGCGATTTTGTCCCCTCATCCCTCCTTCAGAGGCCTGCCTTGTCTCTTCGGGCGCCTCAAGCAGAACTATAAACAGCAGGGAGAAACCATGTAGGCACTCTGTGTGCCTTTCATCAAACGCTGTTTTTTTTCTCCTGAGCTCCAAAAACCCGCCGATACGTTTGTGCTGTTGTTGTGACATTTCCCTCACAGGTAGCATTACAGCTGCTGTAACTTTTGACGGTTTACGTAACGGGATATCCACAATCGAACAGTGAGGATAATGCCGGGAGCCTGAGGTTGATAGTATACACCTTTTATTACAAAAATACATTTGATGGACAGGGCTCCTTAACCTCAGATACCTGATCTGAAGGGTCACCTAAATAAAAACGAAGCTTTAGATGAATTTGGCTCAAAAATAAGGTCCAGGTCAAAGTTTTGACACTTTGTGGAAACATAGTTGGGACAATATGGGCTAAATGTCCTATTTTGAGGTGGAGCTGACTGAAATGTTTGATATCTGCTGCTATGTGAGGGGGCTGAATCCCCCAGTGAAGGTCACCTGTCGGACGTGGCTACATGTAGAGTTTCAGAGGCCAGTTTGTGCTCTAAATTGGCTCCAGCATTAGGGTTTTGTCTCAGATCTCAAAACCTTACTCGAGACAGTCTAATTCACTCTCTGTGTGACTGGCTTTAAGGGATTAATACTGTAGACTTGTGATATAACCAGATGGCAAACCCAGGGATAGCTTAAAATTAAAATCTCCAAGTCACTGAAAGTGGCTGTTAAATAATTCCTAGGCGTCCAAACTGAGAGCGTGAAATCCATTTTTCTATCACTTATCATAATGAATATATGGTGCAATATTGGACTAAAATATATAAATATATCATAAAATATTTTCTAAAATAACTTATTAGGTTAATTTTCTTTTCTGACAACAACGTTACAGAAATCTCTTTGCTGTAGAACAATATACAAAGAAAATATGAGGAATGCACCTTGAAAACAAGCTTGAATCTTTAGTTTATGTCAAAGAAAGCTTTTTTTCCCTTTAAAGACAATTACACAAGACTGTTTTGATCCAGAAAAATAAAGATTGCACACTACCGGACATATTAGGAGAAGCAGGGTGAAACCATTGTTTCAAAACATGCCTGGAATATTTCGAAATACTTTTTCGACCTGCACAGAATGTCAGCCTGGCTGAGATCATACAGGCTATTGGTATAAATGTCAGGTGATATGGCTGCCCTAAGCCAGAGGGTGCTGGCTGTGTTTTATGGAGAACATTTGGAACTGCTGAGTCCTCAAAACTGAAGGTGAAGTCAGAAGACAGACACAGTGGTGCGTGGCGGCCGCATTAGGCCCTTTTCTGGGTCTTTGCTGGGACAGACTGGGGTGCATGCAGAGGACTACTTATGAGCAGCTGCTGCTCCACAGGAGGAAGACTCGTGCTCCCCAAAAATGCGAGACAACTTCTAAATAGCTTTAACACAAGCTGTGGCCGGCGGGGAATCTGTAGAGTCTAATTTTGTGTGTCATTGTTGGGCGAAGTGCAGAGAAGTCTACAGTTTCTGAGGAGAAATGAGGCGCCGTCACCCAGGGATGAGCATTAATTATCTATTAGGTTCATTTAATGTCTTCTACATTAAATATTAGTTGAGTTGTGACAGTTCTTTGATAAAAATTAGATCAGGCAGATTTCTATGCTCTTCCTCTAACCTGTAAGCTCTTTGAGAGGGAAATGACAAGTTGTGATAAACTAAACACACACTTGTCTTTGACTACTTTCAGTGCTTGACTTTTCTCCTTTTTTTGACACTCGACTGAAGAACTGAAGTGTCAGATTGAAAGCAAAGGACAGAGTTTCGCAGAGATTGATGAAACCGTATTATGCTGTTTTGTCTAAACTAGGACCTGATTGTCGAGGGGCGGGGGGGGGGGGCAGTGGTACGCTCTGACTGTTGCCTTCACAATTTGCACAGACTTGTTGGCAGCTGGTTGAATACATCCCGCTCAGTCTTCACCAAAGCTGTTGAACTGAAATATCAAATAATTGGCTGTGTTGCCTTGTGGGATAGCTTCTCCATTTCGTTTTTCTGTCTGGCTGGTTGAGTTCACTGGCCGGTGTGTCAGTGAATTAACCACATGAAGCCCCTCAGAGCATGCTAGTAAAAAATACTCCTGATTACAGTTGGGTTTGGAAACAATTTAAGAATACCGCGTCTTTTAGTGGCTCTCCTTTTCCAACAGAGGTGACCTATAACACAACGTGTAATACAGTAATCTGGTCATGTGCCTCTGAGGCCAGATGAAATTAACTGGGCTGCATCTGTCGGCACCACCTCTGAGGCCCAAAGGGGGAGATCAAGGGCACGGACGTGTGCGATGAATATAAAGACGCGTACGTGAATTACACACGGGTCGGCGTTTTATGGCGTTCGTAATGTCGCTAAGGGCCATTTGGCATAGGTCTTGTGTTGTCCCGTTTCGGAGTCATACCGGCACAGCCGGGAGCTTTGTCCTCGTGTCAGCTTTGAGAGCTCCTGCCAGCTGGAACCCGCCCAGTCCCAGAATGTGCGCCTCCACTCCCGTCTAACCACCGCCGCTCATTTTCCAAGAGGTACAACGTGGTGAAATGGCATCTATATGCGGACAGGCTGCATGGATGAGAGGCTCATCTTTCCGTCTGGGGCAGTGTCTCATGACACTCATTGTTTAAAGGTGTCACTTCACGGGGCATTTCCGGAACAGTGAATAGATATTTCCTGATGTGTTGAGCGTTCCTTAACCTATCTGTGTTCCTTCCCTCTGTTAGGCCTGCCAGTTTGGGGGGAGTATGATAAACTACACTATCTCATCTGTCATGTAGGCATTGCATAAAACTAATTAGATTATGCTGGCTCGTATGTTTAAAAGAGGGAAGCCAAGACTTTTTAATGTGGACAAGAGCCTTGTGTAATGGTGTTTAGAACACTTCCCTGCTCTTCATTGCCTACATTTCCGACCTCTAATGGTTATAAAGTGGATGTCTCTTCCTCTGGGCTGATTGATCACCTAAAGTATGGACCACTCTTGCACTGTAATACGCTCATTCAGTCCAGCAGGAATCCTTTTTTCTCATAATACAGTCCCCTGAATCCCCCCACCTACACTACCGCAAGGATGTTTGGAGTCAGAGAGCTTTGAAATGTAGCCTGAAGGCTGAAACAGTCTATTCTCCCTGGTGTTCCAGTCTATCGTCTTTCTCTGGATAAAACCCACTCTCATTCTTTGCCCTTTCTCTTTTGGGTTCCATCGCAGTACTCTCTGATTCCCTCGACTTTTTTTTATTTTATCTGATTGTTTTTCTTCTGCTCCATCTCTTTCCTCCTTCCTCACTTTACCCTCATTTTGCTCATTCCAGTATGATATAAACACAATAAAATAAACACAAATGAACCAGGGGACCAGAACAAAGACCCAAAGAATGAACTCCGGTTCAGCCAAAAAGGACAGAAAGATTGAACAAATGTGAAGCAGCAGAATGACAGAGACAGTGCAGGAGAAAGGGGCGGAAAGCCCAGCATCAGCAGGGATTTAGTTTTGGCAAACAGGAAGTCTGGGGAGCCAGAGGATTGACAGAAGGGTTATTTCAGCCTGCCCCTCTTTTAAGTCATTGTTTTTTCTGGTACAGAAGCAGGCGTGCTGCATATTGGGGTTTTTCTTTGTGTGTCAACGGGAACAAAACAGTTCCAGAAAAGGTGTTTGGTGTGTCTGACGTGGTGTCTGGTGTTAATGCGGCTGCTGGAAAACAGAACGGGGACGCTGAAGGGAACTGATGAAAGTAGGAGCCTAATACGCTAGTTATTAAATCACTTGATTAATTTGATTAAACGATTTTTGGAATCGCACAAATGAACCCACAGCAAGTGGATTATTGCTTCATAAGGAATTCTCCTGGTGGAATATCAAACACTACTCAAAACTCTCTTTTTTTACCTAATTTCTGTTTGAAGTGTTTTTGCCTCTCAGTCGAATAAAAACAGGTCATTTGACTCTGACCCGAAGAAAACCGAGACGAGCACTTTCTTGTCTAATTTCTGACACTTAGTAGACTGAATAGTAAGTTAATCAATGTGAGTTGAGGCTCTTTTCAGAGTGGCTCCACTTTTCCTGAGTGGGCCAGACTCTTTCTCTGTGGTTCTCCATAAAAAGCAGAAACTCTCCGGTGTTCACGTTTGAGAAAAAGCTGAGCTTGGGCCTAGTTGTATTTCTGTACTGCTTCCATCACATTAATGCACAGTATCGCTGTCTGGGCCATTGGTGCAGCCTTTTGTTTCACAGGGCCGGAGCCCAAACAGACGCTGATAAATGTTAGCTCCAGTGTTTGGCCCGGGATGTGCTCTCAGCCCAGGTGAAGTGGAAGATTACGTTTTCCTGACGGTGGTAACAAGTCCATGTATCACTGTAAATGCAATACACCCTTGAGAGTAAGGACCCAGGCAGAGTTCTTATTGAAACACACTTTTAGTAATCCTAAATAATTGGAAAAGCAATCTGTTCAGCCACCATGCCAGAATGACAGCCCACTACAAGTCTTATACATCACATGATGCTCTCTGTTCCTATACAGTGCTGTTAGTCTTAATCTAATAGGAACAATGTTCCTTGTTCTGTCTATAATCCCGTTAATGTAGATTTCTAAACCTTAAACTTTAGATCGAAGGGATCTTGATGAGCGTGTTATTAGTTTGTTCTCCTAGGAAGTTTTTGCCATGCCGATTTTCAATATCTATTGATCAGGAATGAACACATGATTATTCCTAATAGATTACATGGCTGTGTTGATTTATGATGCAAAAATGTGCTGTGTCACTATTAATAGCACATTTGCTTTTAGGTGTTGGATTAATTGAAAGCAAGTGCTCAGCTTGTTGTGACCTGTAGTGTTATGCTTTTGATCAAGGAGTAGAAATGGACTGAGGTAGGATATTAGAGTCTAACTGTACACAGAGATATTATCCTGACTAATGGTCCATGCATACTAAAGACCCTCAGAACCAGGGCTACCCTGAAGCCAAAATTAAAACCCAAAACTAAAGAACTGAATAACTTTCTACATACATTTTAAGAAGCCAATGTAACCCAGAACTAAAGAAAGTAATCAGAGACTTTGTGAAGAGATTTTCTTTTGTGTGTGTGTGAGAGTGTGAGGAAACACAAGGGCACAGCAGACATAAAATAAGTTGTCAACATAAGGGTGAATATGTGCAAATGAATCCCCTCCCAGACAGATGCTTAACAGATGGCTAAGGCTCCAGTGCTCTGTGTCATGGGTGACACACGTTGCATGTTTGATGTCACTGCTCCAGCCTGCGCTCACAGTGAGTTATGCTTTAGTCACGTACAGGTACAAGAGCAAACTCATTTCAAGGAAATGCAAACAGAAAACAAAGGGAGAGGGAACTCAACCCCCACGTGTTATGATCTCATCAGAGAAATTCACATTTAGTCTGTTGGATATCTTTTTGGGAGACCAAAAAGTTGGCTAAATAAATACAGAAATATGGATTTGCTCCCAGTCCCTTGGGATAGAGTAGTTTGTTCTGTATTCATACCCGGTTTTACAGCCTCAGCGGCATCCAGCCTCCAACACTACAGTTAATTATCCTCTTCTTCCTAGTGACGGGAATGCGGGGTCAATACTTCTTTTGTAGTGCTTTCTGGTGGGTCAAATAGCAGGGCAGTGAGAAAATAGAATATGGGTTGGATATATGGAGACAGAGCCACTCTAAAAGGACCATATGGAACAAATAAGTCTCTGTTTGCCGAAAAAAATCCTTTTTAATTTCCTGTCTGTAGTTTATTTCTCCCCAAACTGCTGGCATATACTTCCTTTTGCTTTCAAACTTCCATATCCCAAGAGGCAGTCCAAACACCCACGCAGGAGTGAGTCATTTTGTCTTTCAACTCGTGAATGTCTCATTAAATTTTGCTCACGGTGGCCAAGAATCTCCTGCATCTTATTCCTAAAAGGCCATGAATAGCATTAGGAGCCGCGCGGGGAGGCGGCCTCCACGGTAATGTATGGGCCGAATCTGTCTCGGGGAGGATTAGATCAGTTTACAGCTGAGGGAGAGGTCAGTAAAACACTTGTCTGCTTGCCGGTGGACGCTGAGGACAGGTGAGGAAGGCTTCAGAGGCAGCTGGAGATCAGATAAGAGGTATACGGGAGTCACCTGTGTCCGGGCGTTTGTCCCACAGGAGCAGATCGCTGTTCTCTCACGACCCGGTGACCAGAGTTACGTCCATGAAAAGTGACATGTACCGTTTTTTTTCACGAGATAATTTGTGACTTCTCGTATCCGTTTGTCTTTCAAGAGAGTTATAGATAGGCCTGCATGTGGCTGGGTGTATTAATGGCCGTCTGCTGAGGCCTCAGTCCTCCTTTCCTGTCTGCCTTATGGAATGTGGAGAATTTAGGGTAAATGTATTCTATGGCCTGCCTTTCCAACCCACTGGAAATGTAAAACTAGTGGTTTTCAACTGACGTGCTTGAGTTTAAATTTAAAGTATGCTTTGAATGATAACAGAGTCAGGGATTTTTCCATAACTAATTCAGCTCATGTAAATGAGGACTGACATCTCCCTTGAGAGACTGAGTGTTTGGGCATTTAGTGATCAATACAAATCAGAAGGATTTTGAAAGAGGAAAATGTGCATCATCGGCTGTTTTAAAAAGCTTGCAGGGGAGGAGGGGGGGGGACCCACCAAAGGCACCTTGCTGTAGTAATAAGCAAAATGTCACTCCCATCATTATTAGGGAGTGACAACCCGGCAAATGTGCTGCATGACATTATGTCTCAGGGAGAGAAAAACAGGGTTTTGGGCCCAAGATGGAGTGCAATCACCATTTTGTGTTACGTGCATGTATTCTTGTAGGGGGTAGGAGGGGGGGGGGGTTTAGCGTTTGGGTGGAAAATAGCTGTTTCTTTATTTCCCAGGCTCTTTTTCCAGCTGGTCAGCAGAAGTTGGGTGGGCTTTTCCCATAGGATCTGGTTTCCCCAGCAGCAGGGGGCACAGACCCAGAGGACAGACAGGAAAGAGGATCAACATTCAGGAGAAATTCCTGGAGCCTTGAAATGGCTGGGGGTCTTCTGCTTAAGATAAATAAGGCAAACTACCAGTTTGCCTTCAGATCCAGAAACAAAACAGCACGGTTCTGTTGACAGACACGTCTGTTTTTACTCGGTTTCTGGTGATTTCAGTTTTTTAGCCTCACGGTTAAACAGCACCTTGTGGCCTGACCTGTAGGTGAACTCAGAGAAGAAAAATAAGAAGAAGTGCACAAAACAGCTTCAAGTCAGTCAATTATTCCATCCACCGAACAGGCAAAGGCTGCAAAAGTTCTCTGGAAGTAGAGGCTCCAACATGGGATCCCCGTTCAGTTTCCCATATGACTTAGTGGCTGCTTGTTTCTCGAGGCCCTCGGCCCCAGATACAGTCTTGTGTAAGCATAACACAAGGTTTCTGGAATGTAGCAAGTAAGCTTCTTCCCAGAGAGTTAGACGAGGCTATAAACGGGACAAAGGACTTCTCTACCCATATTTGTGTGTGCTTACCAAGCTCAGCAAGAGCTGGTGGCCATTTATGAGACCATTGTGAAAAACAGCCCAGCGAATGGGTTTAAAAGCAATTACCTGATATGCACCAGAGCAGTTGGCACAGATAAGCTAGTTCTAGAGGCTAAACCAAAGTTTTGCTTTGATAACTTGGGTCAAATGCAGTTCGGTGATAGCTTCTTGGTTGGTGGCAGATGCTGATATCTTATCTCTTTCCTCACCTGTTGCAAGAGTAGAAAGCCTTAGCAAGACAACCAGTCCTACATGGAAGCTCCACCCCTGCTACCATCGTGCACTTTGTCCCCATTAGTCACGTATTTCCTCTCGAGTGTTCACTTACATCTTGCTTCCTTTATGCATTTGAAATCAAATATCAAAGAAAACCCAAGTAAAAATTGAAAGATGAGAGCTCCTCCTCCTTTTAGAGGGAGCGTGGAAACAAAGGAAGCCTTTGATTCTCTTAGTGATTTAGCTCTTTGCGCCGTTGGCCCAATATGAACCCCACGGCGTTGTACTCCCAGGCCTGACATAATTCCTGGGAGTACACAGCCATGGCAACTTGGCTCTGCTTACACCAAAATATCACAGGACGTTTTCCTGGGTGTGCTTCAGATTCACACTGCGGCTGAACCCCGCGCTATTTCTCCTATTGGCTCATAAATTGATGTCTCCAGTGAGAGATGGTGCAGATGAATTGAAATGATTAAATCTAAGTTATTTTCACCTTTTATAGGCTCCCCGACATATTGAAAGCACCAATCTTCAGTGAATTGCTCCATGATAATGCAAACACTGACGGCCATTATGTGTCTGCTTTGTGTTGTAGGATTCATTTTGAAATAAGCCTCAGAAAATCGAGTCAATTATTTCCACTCAAAGGTGACAATAGGATTATGTTTGTTTCACCGTGGCAGCATCTGACTCTCCTAATGTCTCTTTGTTTAATTCTTTTTGTCTTTCCAGCTCCACCACCCTGGTGAGAGTGACTTGAATGCAAAGCAAAAGATTTTTAACAGGGAAAATCATTCGGCATGGAAAAAAAATGTCACCTGTTAAGCTGGAGCAGAAAGTAGGATTTCCAGTTATAGAGTGATTATACTGCATGTGGACTCAAGCCCTTGGGAGTTGAACTGTATCACTCCACTACTAGTGATATAACTCACTTCTCCTTATCTTTTGCACTGCCAGCTAATACTCCATCATTACTGAAAGTGACGCTATCGTGACTGTTCTCAAAGTGCTCCGCTTAATGTCAAGCCTTTGTTGGAGTTCCCCTGAAGGTAACCCCTTCTTCTGCTTCCCTCCACCGCCTGACTTTCTGTGAAATCCCAAAATGCACACACATGGCATTAAATACCCACCAAGACATTAGCGAACCTGTTGGAAATGCATATAAAATTGTATTTGTTTTAATCAGAATCAGAATCAGAAATACTTTAATAATCCCAGAGGGAAATTATTTAATTTAATCATTTTAATTTAATTTATTTAATTTATTTTTTGTATTTTATTTACTAATGAATATGCATTGAATAGCATTTTTCATGGCCAAAATGAAAACAAATGTATGTGGTTTTCTTCTCATCGCTACAGTGCTCTCTGAATCAGTAACTAGAACTTGCTGAACAGCCTTGACAAAGGCATAGCAGGTTACAAGTCAGTGTTATTTTTTCCTAACATCACCGAGTCTCTGTGCGAGCTGCTGGATCAGGATGTGAAATCCTCCAAAGCCATTCTGCTCAACACGGCTCTGACTGACCGTGATATGCCTCACTACCTGACATTTGAAGATAACCAGAAAGAGTAGGCGGCCTGCCAGAGAGTTGGTTTGAGCGCTCAGCCTCTCATGACAGATGCCGAAAAGCTCATCATGTGCAAAAAAAGAGATAATGGAGGCTGGGAAGTCACCGGCGTTCAGTCCTGCTGATAAGACCGTGTAAACTGCCAGTCTCACTGTGGAGTGGACAAAGCAGAGGTTGTTCTGTTTTGATTGCCTGCTGATATCTATATTCTCACAGTTAACTGGCCCAGAAACATTGTTTTTTCCGCCTCTATAACTGCGCAAACTGTCCAGAGGAAGATAGAAGCCATGACTGTAATAGAGGTGGGCAAGTTTGACATCAGTCACTCTCGTAGTTTTCGCTGAATATAAGTTATACACAGCATTGGTGTGAGGGTTATTCTAAGAGACATGGAGTAAACTGCATGTGCAAAAGTGTCAATGAAAGCCCCAACAGCTTCGTTTTGAAATAGCCTGCCGGCTTTTTGTGGAGTAAATTTCCAATATTATCTCAGCATCATGTCTTCCAGTCTCCATTGTGTCTGGAGCTCTGCAATCATTTTCAGGCAAATCTATTGAGAGGAGTTAGACATTATTTTGTCTTTCAGACCAGAAGGGAAACTGATTAAATGCAACCAGTTGCCGCCACGCTGAGCTGTGAGCGTCCTCCTGGATACCAGCAGCATTATATTGGGTATTTTGGCAAATGTCACCTGTGTGATTAAACAGATGTTTTGATGAGACTTCACAACAGTAGCTGCAGCTTTTCCTGAAAATGAAGGGATTTAAAGCCTGTCTTGTTGAAGAATAATAGAAAAGGAATATTTGCTTATCTTATAATAGATACTCAATATATCTGCAACCAAAACTGAATATATTTACTCTCTTAAAAAGAATATTAAACTGTCCAAAGTTTCTGTGTTTCCCTTTTAAGTCTTCGGCATAGTTAAGTATTAATAGGAATGTATTCCTTTCATTTTATTAAAAAGAAAGCAAACCATAAAGCAAAAGGCCTTGAAATGAAAAGTCACTTTCCTGATTTTCTTGAACATATTTCATTTCTCCTATAGGATTGTATTCTTCCAGTTTTCCATCCCAGCAGAAGAAAGACTGTAAATATGTTGTTACTGCTCGTTCCACAGCATTGTTCTCCATGCTTTAGAAACCCTCAGCGTGAAAGACTTCAGAGGGGCTGTGCGCCTTTTTTTCCCTGGCAGTTGTTGGCCGACTGCTGGCAACTGGTGCGTGGAGATTTCCCCTGGCGACGTACGTTCAGTTTGAAGAGACGCAGTTGGTCTACATATGCACCACTTCAAACTTCAAAAGTAAAACAGCAGTGGAGTTTTTACAATTGATTTCTTGTGTAGGCAGTGCGTTTTCTCACAGGAGAAATGCAACGTTAGTCTGAAAGCCCAACGACCAAATCGGAACGGTTTCATTCACACAAATAAATAGGATCTAAAGCAACCGGGGAACAGATTGTTAGAAAGCTTCCTCTCTGGATTCTACCGCGAGACTCCCCTTCAATTCCTGAAGACCAACCCCACTAAACAATATTTCAAAGAGGACATCGTGTACTGAGGTTTCAGTGGTTTAAAGATTTTTCCAGGTTTGTTGTCACTTAGAGCAAAGTGTTGAAACAGTCCTCCTCCCGGTGCTTATTGATAGGCTCTCAGCAGGGCGTTGCTGAGTCAGAAAGACACCTGCTCTGAACCACAGCAATCTGTAATCATGATCAAAGCTCAGATCTGTCAGCTGGAAGCCCAATAGCGTCCTTTTGTTGAGCTTTGTTCCTGTCCGAGCCCCGTGGTTAGTCACACGGGAGGCAAATAAAAGTTGACGGTAAAAGGGAGCGAGATGGGCAGGAGTGGGAATCATTCCTGGGTTTGTGACAGCAGCATCCACAGGAATTATCGATCTACTAAAGAAGATTTACATCCTGCCCTGAGTTAACAGCAGATCAGTTTTAGCAAAAACCTCAACCGGTGTTTTTCTCAAGCAGCATCTGGTTACACTTTCTGACACGCTGAAATTCAACCAAATGCGGCCTTTTTATCTTAAGCATTCACCAAGTGACTGCTTCCATCCCATGTGTTTCACAGTGAGGAGCCCCATTCACACCTCAGCTCAACACATCACCCTCCGACATCCTCCTGTCTCAGCCCTCTGCGATAATTACCCCTTTGTTACCTTGAGCTTAAGAAGTAGCACCTAACCAAGGGCAGCGTGGTGTTTCGTGCAGAGCAATAATTCATTGGCACGTATATGGTGGGCTGTATATCTTGAGGTGGGGGGGGAGTAATAGGTGGGGGTTGGTGAAGTGTGCATGCTTAAAATTGGCTGCTGTCAGCTGAAGTGCTGCTAATGTGGGCTCACACTGATGATATGAAACACCAGGGGAAATGATCTGCTGTTATGTAGCCACTAATGGACTAAACAGTACAAATGACAAGCTCTAAGCTTCACTTGGTTGTTCCGCGATCAGCTTTAACAAAGGTGGATTGGTAGGAGAGATGATTCAAACAGGACTCTGAACCATGCCTGTCACACCTCATCGAAATTAAACATTTCATATTCAGTATCACTATATAACCAAACGATTTATATTCATATGTTATGCAAAATGTTCATTTACCAGTAGTGGATAAGGGTTTATACTTTCTATTACTGAACAGCCATGAACTGGAATCAGAATAGTGGTACAGAGGCGGAGAGGAATGCTGCAGTCTGTTGACCATCTATTTGCTTTCTGCAGTGGTGTGTCAGCTGTGATCCAGAGCTAATCAACCAGCCGATAGTGAGGTACCTACAGGGAGCCCAGGCCCCTGAAGCCCATAGCCTCTCATTCGTCTTAGAGACACGCTACAGGCAGAAGCCCGACGCCGTGCTGGCCCTGCTGCGTTTGCATATGCTGAGTTATGAGGGGACGCTGAACCCTGAAGATTTAATCTGGTTACCAGTGGTCCGTCTGCTCCCGCGTGCTCTCCTGGTCAGCAGCGTGGATTAAAAAGAATATGAAGACGGCCCCTTTTCCCTACAGGGAGCTTCCAACATCCTCGCAGGAGGTGACAGGGAACAAATAGCAGACGTTCTTCTCGGGCCCGGCTGTTTGGGAAGCTTCCTGCTGTTGATACTGTCTCCAGTCGCTTCTGGAAGTTTCTCATGCATCTCACCTGTACGTTTGCTCAAACAACATCTAATAGTTTCCTTTTGTTCTGTTGTTGGTTTGTGTGGCTGGCTCAGATCTTCCAGACAGATGCATATTATGCAGAACATGCAATTAGAAAGAGGACAAAGTGCTGTTTGAAAGTTATTGATTTTCTCATTTTTTTTGCACATGGTACTAATTTGACTGTTTTTTACAATTAGAATTCTTAGGTTTTTCTTACACAAAATTACAAAACGTTTAGTCAGTTTATGTCCAAAATTGGTGGGGAGGAGTGAACACATTCTTGCCGTTCAGACTGTGTAGAGAACATTAAAGTTCAGCCGAGCTGCAGAAAACAGGCGGTCAGCCATATGGTGACTTGTTTACTCTGGCAAGCACACCCCGAAAGTCGTGCAATTGTGGCAAAAGAATGACTTGTTGTCCCAGACAAAGCTGCTTGAGGCGAAGCTCTGTTTGTTCCATTCTAGTGGAAGTCAAATACAGCTTAAACACACTTAGAGCCCCAACGCTGCAGTAGAGGAGTCAGGAAAGCTGTTTCTGCCTCTACAGAAGCCAGATGCTGACTGATCGGCTGATTAGAAATGATCCAGTTTTAACTTTCACCCCCGCCCCCCCCCCCAGCAGGAAAATAACCCACAAAATGAGGAATTTGAGATAGCAGCTCATCTTGAACCAGCCCTTCTGCTTGCCTCCCTCCTCAGCGAGGAGTGTAGTAGTCCATAATGAAATAAAGACGGAGAAAGACAGATTTGAACTGAATGTCAATCACAGACAATCACATTACCAGTTATCCACTGTGATGATTTTCTCTCCCATTAAGAAGTATTATGATCTTCTCTAAAATGCTATTATCGTGGAAATGGACCCATGTCTGGGCAGCTAAACTGGTCAGAAATAACCGGAATAATAATGTACAGTTCTCGCTCTTGATGGCGCCCGAACGTCAGCGTTTTGCCGACTGTGCTGAAAGATCTAAATATCACTTATGTCTTTTAACAGCTCGGCTCTCTGTGAAGTGCATCAACGTGAAACAAACTGACACCTGACCTTAAAAGCCCCACAGCGTGTTTTTCTTTTGAGGAAAAAAGACTTACACACTGAAGAAAGAGAGTAAAGATAGTGTTTGCTATGCATTTTCGTTTTCCTCCTCTAAGCCCCAGACTTCAGCCCCTTTTCCTCTGCTCTAACACGCTTCTTTTCTGGGGCCGCTGAGGGCTGATGGGAGCCCAGGCTGGGGGAAGGGAGCGGGATCTGAAGGCCGCCTGTGGAATCTTTGCATACCAGCGGAGAAAGCAGGAGGGAGTTTTTTACCTCCCTGCACATTTCCTACCGGCCAGCTCCGTAAACTGTCCGACAGCAGCTGGTGTCAGAAGGAAAGGCCGCGAGAGACGAGCACCGAGTTATCTCACTTACCATCTTCTTTAAATAAAAGCCAGTAAGCAGAGGAGGAGGAGGGAGGAGGAGGGGGTGAAGAGCAAAAGATGTGGCACCGATCTTCACAGCAAAATTCACCAGATGGAGCCGATCTAAATCAAGTTCCCCCTGCTATAAATACAGCGGGAAAACAAGCAGACACGGGGAATAATGAGCAGCAGCATATGCCACGGTCAACCTCTGTGGGCAGGAAGGAGTGCTGCTCGTCCATACTTTGCATTTCTCCTCTGAAGTCATCCATGAAGGCGCACAGTTAAAGCACACACCGCAGCAGAAGCAACTTTGGCAGCGGGGCGCGCCGGTCGGAGCGGGGGCCGTATTTGTATGCGCTGTGGAAAAACTATCTCTTTCCAACTAAAATGAATTAAGATGCGTCCATCTTTATGGTCCAGCAACTGCTCGGTCTCAGCCCCTTATAGCTAGCTGCCTCTCCGTTTAGGGTTTAGCAAGTTTAGAGATGGTGGTGGAGCATATTTTTGGGGGTTGTGAAGCATTTTTTACTTTTGTTAGTTAGCTCTTAACAATCAATTAAGGCGGCGGGAGGAAGAGACGGTAATAAGACGTGTAATGGAAGGCGTGTGCGCTCCGTGGGGAAACTGTTAAATTCATCACCACCTCGTGTTCACACATTTCTCACCGGCACATTACAACATGTAATCTGTCACAGATGTCAGGGGTGGTGCTGGCTCTCCATCCCGCCACGCGTCCGTAAACTGGAAGAGCCCGTTGGGGATTTTCAGGCAGGCAGGCTGAATTAATTAGAGAGCCGTGATTTAGCATCTTTTTCATTGATGTTTTCTAGAACTGGTGAAAGCCGTCGTCTAGAAACGATGGAGATGGTTTTCAGTAGAAATGGCATGGGCCGGTAATGGCTGGGTACAGATGTTTGGTCCACACTTCCTGAGACATATTCCATGTCCCAGTCTGGTCTGGGTCTATTTGCAAATTTCCTTCCAGAGTCGGTTTCACGCTTTCTTCCGCAGATCGGTTTCATTGTCACACTACAGACACCAAAACCGGAAAAAAAAAGCCGCGTGTTGGGATAAAGTGGAGGATGAAAAATATTAATTGGGGAGAGGCCAAAAGGCAGGCGTGCGTGTTGCGTTGCCACGGTGATGCGAAACGGTTTTGGTCCAGCGGTTGGACGCCCAGTGACTGAAAAAAGCCGTAGCAGTCAACCTTATAATTTCTGTGTTTTGGAATGAGTGGCCGGCGCCCGTTGCCAGGCCGACGTGGCTTGGCAAGGATTTGAGCCGCACCAGCTGACCGACAGTGCACCGCCTCAGTCTGTGTTCTGGATCTTTCTACATCCTCCTGCACCTGAACGCACCACCCCTCTGTTGACACTTTACAATACTCAACTTCTAACTGAAACAATGTATAAAGAAGTTATTGTCAGCATTTTCCGCTCTCTGATTTTGCATCCACAACATCCAGTGGACTCCTTTCTTCAGTAAGAGTAGGAACATAGAGAGTTTTAAACAAGTTCATTTAATCCAAAGAGATCATTGATTGGTTTTCCAGCTGTTCTTTTCTTTTTTCAAGCTCCTCATTTGGCTCATGATGGTTGGGTTTGTGTGTTATTTAATTCTTTTTTTAATTATTATCTAGAACTGTGTTATACTACTTTACTACTACATGCTGGTTATTTTCCCTACTGGAAAAACCCTCCACTGTGTGGCTACAGAAGTTCAGGCACGTTCCATGTTCAAGTCTATATCCTGTATAAGTACATCTGGATCTGACCAGGGAGGATTGCCTTTACGTATTTTTTAACACAAAAAAGCAGGTTGCTCAGTGGAACACGAAGTTGAGGCATTCAGAAAGGAGTTAGTTATGAATCTTAATTACTACTGGATGTTTGAATACACTTAAGTGATTTTCATCTCAGTCCTCAGGTGACCAACCGTTGACCAGCGAGCTTTTGCACGTGCTTATTGGTCCTCATGTTTTAATCTTTATTTTTGTGATACCAGTTGAAATGAAAGGTTTGGTATCTGCCTTTTTTAAAAATAAATGTAGTATCTCTGGACAATGAGACAGAATGCAGAGTGTGCCGTGCACGCTCCTGCCTAGCTCGTTGGCCATATGGCGTACGGCGAGGAGCCAATGCCTGGGGAGGATGCGGCCGGATGGTAGCAGGAAGTAAACATACAAAACAAGACCTAAGAGAGTCGGAGTGTTCTCCTCACAGCAAATCAGCACGGGCACATGCAAAGTGACGGAGGCACATGAGAGAGTATATTTGAACAGAAAGGGTAAAAACGGCCTTCAAACTGAATGGAAAATATGCAGCGGCTCGTCTTTCTGCCTTTGATAGCTTGTGTCTATAATGCGTCTCTTATTTCCAGTTTTATTTGAATATCTGATGGAATGGCTGTTACTCCAGGGCACCACATGCTTCTCATTGAATTCAGCCTTTGCTCTTGATCTCATCAGTGATGCGGAGGGCTGTTTGACATTTTAAAGGCTCATCTGTTCCCTTCTCTCTTCCACCATCAGAGAGGATGACTGTGGCCTAATGTGGAGGATTGTTGAGAGACTGAAAGCCCGAGCAAAGTCACTCTGAGGAGACCACTGGTAGCTGCCGGTGGGCGGTGGAGTAGGCGTGGGAGGCACTCCTGTATTTTAAGTGACCTTTTCTGAATGGCTCGGAGGATTTCCGTGCCATCTGTGCCCTCCAGGTACCTCTAATCCCCTCGCTGCTACTCTCAGCAGTAATGGGGACCTCAAACCTTTCCAAGATGCATCTGATCTTAGTCACTCTCAGGAACACAGTGCCCGCTTTGTTTCAGCTGAAATACGTCTCATCCGTCTCCCATATATTTCATTTTATCTCCCTTGGCATTTATCATTGAGTTCTTGTATCAGTAATTATTCCTCCTTTTGCTTTTTAGTAGACAAAGTGCCTGAAAATCTGCAGAGAGTCTTTCTGTAGGAATGCTAACACACATTTGAATGCAAACGGTGACATTTGGAGCATCATATAGGATCAGATTTTTTTCCTGTGCTGCAGTTCTAATATTTGATCAATCATAGGTGCAGTATCACTTTCTATCAGTTTTGTTGTTTTCTCCCACCAGGGATTCCTCCTTATTCCTTTTATTTTTTCTTGACCCCTGGGTTAAACGTTTTAGCGCTCCTTACTAAATGAAAGTGCTATGATGTATTCATTTATTTCCCCCATTGCTTTTCATGCTTATGTGCCTGGCAACCCTGGGCTCCGGAACAACATTGGGAGGCATCTTTGAAGACATATAACTGCTCCCTGCTGAGTTGAAGCCAATTTTAGATTTGGCTCCATGACTGAATCTGTGCATAGAGCGCGGCCGGATCTCAAACCTGTATTGGACAGCGAAGCCATAAATTAGGATTAAGAATAAATCATCTAATGTGAATTGATGGATCAGAAGCACACATCCACACCACCACCCAAGTCCACATTATTCTTGATGTTAGCGATCAGTCCCGGGCATCCCG